CCCCCCCCCCCGCCAGGTGCGTTCCTCTCCACGGAAGCGGCTTCCGTCCAAGCCTGCTGGGGACCCCGAGGCCTGTCTCAGCACGGTCCGGTTGGGGGCAGTCTGCCCGCATGACCACACAGGGTGACGTGGCACAGTGGTTCCCAGGACAAAGCTACCCCGTGGCACCTTTTGTTGAATTTTGCAAATGATATTGTAATGACCTTTCACAATGAAAAGAAGCAAATTAAAGTGATTTTATTGTTTCCTATTTCTCATTCTGATGACTTTTTCTTCCTTTGTCACACGAATGGCAAAGTGAACGCTTAGCTGTGGTATCCTCTCAGATTCAGGAAAGAAAGCCCAGCCCGTGCAGATCCAAAAGCCACCGTTTCTGACACTCTGGTTCCCGGTGTTTCTGCAGGGGCAGGGCTTCGCGCATCCAGGCCTGCCGGCATGAGCTTTCCTGCCCAGGGGTGAGGACCCACGATTCCCTGGAAGGTTCCTTAACTTGCTACAGCAAAGCAAGACAATGGAGTCTCACTCAAACTTGTCCTAACCTTTATAACTGGAGAGTCCTGCCCGGGTGCCCTGAGGCCGGCAGGCTGGGCCCTTCACCTCCCAGGCCTTCCCTCTGCACTGCCTCCTGCCCTCCCACTGCAACGGGGACACATAAGGCAGAACGTCTGCACCTCGCTGCCGGGACTCAATCCCTGGCTGTGCCGCAGACCAGCCGGGGGACTCAGGACCGGTTCACCCCAGCTCGTCTGCTCATCTGTCAGGTGGGGTGCAGCCCTACCTCTGTGGGGGGCTTAGAGGACCTGCAGCCGAGCTACTACTAACTGAACTAGCCCCCAGGAACCCTGCAGGGCAGGCACTGTTAGTCACCCCCCCTCCCCCGGGGCCGGGCAGGGTGGGGAGGGGGGTCCCTCAGCAGGCAGGACGGACACCATCACAACAAACACACACCACAGCTGAGTGTTGAGCAAGAGGGAGGCAGAGGTTGACCCTGGACTCAGCAGCCGCGAGGAGGGCACACCCGGGGCTACTGGAGGGAGAACCCCCCAGGAAGGCCGTCCTCGCCTGGAGGGAGGCGCCAGCTCTCCATCCCGAGGGAGGGAACGCGGGTCTCGGGATCCGCAGGACGCCCTGCGAGGTCTCTCCAGCCAGCGGGCAGGCGGCCCCTGGACGACAGAGCTGGGCCCATCTTGCAGATTCGGGCAAAGCGGCGGAGGCCCTGAATCACCTCTTCTCCAACCGCTACTTCCTCCTGCTTAACCACTCTTGTCCTTGGCCCGTCGGGCCACTTGCCCCCGCAGCCAGGCCCCGGGCTCCCTCCCACCACCGCTCAACCCTTCACTCGGAGCTGGACTGGGGCACCCTCTCCAGGCTCAGCACCCCCCGTCCGATGCCGAGTGCGGCGCTGGGACACGTCTCCTTGTTGTGAATAAATGCCTACTTCAACTTCTCCCTACCCAGGTTCAAGGGGCTGACTGGACGTTTCCCCAGTACGCTTTGAAAATCAGTACCGCAGTAAAAACATCCACCTCTGCGCTAATAAAAATGATCTACCCGCCCTTTGGAGACGCTGGCCGGGCAAGACCGTCCCAGCCTAACCCAAAGTCCAACCCAGAACGGCCCAGCGTCCGCCCACGGCCCTGCATCTCCCCGCTGCGCTCCCGGACAAGGAGACCACAGGCTTTCGCACCTCCTGCTTCCCGACTAACCTTTGTCCGGCCGGCCCTGCCTCTCCCTGCTGCTGCTCACGCGGGAAACGTCCAAATGCATCAACATTTAGCCACAGCTGACGCAGTCAGTGGCATTTTGCTCACGCGAAGCCGCCCTCTACTGCTAAGCCGCCCTACGCTGGAGAATGTGATGATTACAGAAAAGGGGATGATCCCACTCTCTTATTCAGCAGCCTCAAAAGCCAGATGGTGGAGCAGGGGGTCAGCCCCGTTTGGGAAGACGCCCTTACCTGCTGGCTTCCAGAAGCCGGCCTCCACCCTCACGGACAACACCCAGCCTTGCACAGAACACACTTTATTGAGACAGAGGTGGCGGGCGGGAGGAGAGAGGGAAGGAATCCCGGACGCCACCCCAGCTCATCACCGGCACCAGGCTCCTCCCAGAGCTTCTTGTAAATGGAGACTCTGTGTCCGACCAAGAACGAGAACGCGTCCGCAAAGAGCCCCGACCGCCGAGGCCAGGCCAAGACCAGGAACACCCCCGGGGGTGGGGTTTAGACGCAGGCTCTCGACCTCTGGGAGCCCGAAGGTCCTTGGCAGAAGTGGCTCAGGAAGTGTGGTGTCTCCAGAGGGCCTGCGGAAACAGGCTGGAGGGCAAGGGCCACCCTGGACCCAGCAGAAGGCAGAGGCAGCAGACCGAGGACCCTTTGAGGGGCACAACAGGCCAGGAAATGGCAGATCCACCGCTGACTGCAGCGGGCTGTTCGCATGCACACAGCCAAACGCTATTTGCCAATTTTCAGACAGCTCCCGCCGGTCATGAGCAAAAGAGTTCTATCTTGCAAAGGAAGCCATTCCTACGCTTAAAGACCAATCCACCCACAGACCGAGGCACTCGGCCTCGCCTCTGAAGCCACACATTTCAAAACATTATCACCCACCCAGCTATTTCTATTTTTACATCACCCTTAGAGCCAAAGCAAGCCACCGCAAAGAAAAGCCTCAGGACTTGTGTATGGAAAATATCTACAAGGGTTCGAAATGTCGACAGCCAAGTGCAAACAGGGTTGGCCCTGGGCAAAAGCCTTGGTTATTAGCGAAGAAAACAAACAAACAAACAAACAAACCCTCAGCTTTTCTTAACACCAGTTTTCAGGAAAACCCCATCACCAAAGGGGCATTTTCTCCTCCAAGTTTTGACTTTACCAGGCTGTTGAGAAGCGAGCCACCACCACCGACCGACTCTGTTCCGGAGGGTTCTGGACCGAGCTCTGATCTTAAACAAAGACCCGCCCTTCTCCCACCCCCACCCCGACCCACCACCTAAACGACCACGGCTGTGAACTGTCTGTTAAATTGAGGGTAGGAGGAGAGAGGATTCAGCTGAGCACGGCATGGCCGAGGGGAGGGCTCAGGGCTCCTGGGGAAACTCTTTTCCCAGGCACCCAGTTGGGATTCTTCCCGCTGCAAACGCACCAAAGACCCCCGCTCTCGTGCCCCCCTGCCCGGTGAGGCCAGCTCCCCTAGAACAAACCAAACAGACCAACAGAAAAGAGCCCGCTTTGCTGAGGGCCAAACACAGACACAAGGAGGGTAGGCGCAGGTGGGAAACGCACAGGGCCTCCCGTCAGCCCCCCCCGGGGCGGGCTGGATCTGGGGATTCTGAGCCTCCAGCCCAGGGGCACAAGGACTCTGTGGGCTGGGGAAGCGCCCACCTGACCCACTCCCGGGGCTGGGGTTGGACCATCCACTCAGCCACCAGCGGGCACCCCTCCTTTTTCCATGCTTTTAATGCTTTTCAGATGGTGAGAGGCTGTTGGAACGGTCCAAGGCTGTGCTGGTGGCCGAGAGCATGCCAGTGCCTGTCCCCATCGCCCCTTCCTCCGGAAGATGCTTGAAAGGGACCGTGCTCCCCGCTCTGAAGCCCCCTCTCAAGCGGTAGACCGTCATCTGCAGTTTGGTTCTGCCTCCTCCTCCCCCCCAGAGTCTCCCGCGAGCCCAGGAGAAGGGATGCTTCCGGCGTCTCCTAGGAGCTGACGACGTGGCCGGACCAGGTCTCGTGCTTGGTGCCCGGGGCCAGATGGGTGATGACCACCTCCACGGCCTGCAGCTTCTCGTTCTTGGGGGGGATGGAGCACATCTTATAGGTGACCTCGTCGCCTTCCACGGGGACATACTCCCCCTCCACGCTGTGGGAGCAGGGAGACAGCGTTCAGTGCCCAGCGCCCACAAAAGCCTCACTCAGCTCCGTGCCGCACCCAGGACCCCAGCCCGAGCTTTTGGAGCACCTGCCCCTCCTGCCCTGCCACCAGGGAGCCACCGTGTCTCTGCGGGACCAGGTCCCCCCAGCCTCCCCGCACTGAGGCCCAGACCGAGCTCTGCCTCTGCAGGAGCTCATACTGTCCGTCGCATGGGTGTCATCGGCCTGTGGACACAAGAGCAGGGAGAGCCAGTCTGGGCCAGAGAGAACAAGGCCGTCAGCGTAACGGTTGAGAGCCGCCCTGGTCCCAAGAGAGCCCCGAACCCCAGCTGCGTGCGTGTCTGCCCTCCCGCTTCCCAGACACCCAGCAAGCCTGAAGGCAAGTCCCTTCCGTGCTGAACGCGAGTTCCAGGAGGGTTCCCTCCCTGTGACCGTACTCCCTATGGGACACAAGTCACCATTTCACCCACCCTGGTGAGGTGCCCATGCTGATGCCCCCCGAGGACACCTCCAGCAAGAGGAAAATCCCCTTCAGATCCTGGAACTGATCTGAGGGATTTCGCCTTGAGGGAAAGCGCACGTGGCCAACGGTGCTTCCCTCTTTGGTCGGGCCACCAGGATGCCGCACGTCCATCTCTCTGACTCGCCCCCACCCCCACCCCCGCCCCCGGTTTTCCTTACTGATCTTTCATGGTGCACTGCGAATATCCTTGTAAACCACTACAGATCCCTTCCGGAAAGAGGCGACATGAAGACACATTTTCACGGCCACATACGCATTCACGCACCCATCAGATGCGTGGCTTTAACACCCTGCTGCTGTCTGTACTCTCCGGGAGCCTGTGCGAGGCCTGGCATGTAAGGACTTTGGGGGGACATTTGCAACGGTACCCTATCTCCAAAAACGGGGTGTTTATATTTTGCCCGGTCTGCCGTGTGGCATAGGACTCGGCCTGCCACAGACTAAAAGATTGGGGGTGCAGAGGCCAAAGAACGGGGCAGGGGCAAGGCGGTGCCCGATTCGGTCCCCCCATAGCTGAAGGCTGACTGGGGGAGGGAGCGAAGCACGGGCCGCTGGATGCCTTCCAGCCTCAAGGCCGCGGACGTGCGGGCCCCGCCTCAGCCTCAGCCTCCCAAGGGTTTCCAGACACTCAGGAAGGAAGGACGTCAGTGAGCAAGTCGCAGGAGAAAGGGCCCAGCTCCAAACTTCCTTCCTGGAGCAGAGGGGCTGGGCAGCCCCCAGCCTCACTGAGTGGCTCCCCCAAGGCAGGCAGGAAGTCAGACTCTGGGTCACACGCACTCCGCAGCTCAGTGACACCCCTCCCATCCACCAGACCCATCCCATGGTTCTCAACAGTCTCTCCCTCTCTCCCTCTGTCTCGCTCTCCGTCACATACACGTGCAGACTGTCACCTGCAGCCTCCCACACGCCCCACCCCCAAACAGTCACACACAGGTCACAGGCAGAGGCTCACGCCCTCACACGCAGCGCCTGTCAGTCACACACTCCCCCTGCCTCCTTGCCCAGCCCCAAACCGCCCAAACCAGCCCTGACTCACTCAGAAATGTGCAGGAAGATGTCGGGGCCACCATCGGCCGGGGTAATGAAGCCGTGGCCCTTGGATCGACAGAAGCATTTGCAGACTCCTTTGTAGACAGGACCTTGCGAAGCCCGCACCGTCCTGAAAGAGGGGGGGAAAGTGTGAGTGGGGGCCCCTACCAGCCCTCCAGAACAGCCACCCACTCTCCTGAGGCATACCCAGCTCATCCCAGTGCCCCCTTAAAAGCCATGCCCCGGATAGTAACCAGGGCCATTATGTATAGCTATGCAGGTTGTGAACTGCACAACTCTGGGAGCCATTCACAAAGACTCTAATAAGAGTGACTCTCTGACGACCCCAGCAAATTTTCTCAGGCCTCAGTTTCTCTATCCAAAAAGGGGGTTAGACTAAAATCTCTCCGAGCATCCCTCTGAACACTATTAGTGACGGCAGCAGCCTCTACAACTTGGGCCTGAGATCTACAGCTCCCAGGCACTGTGCAGGTCCTTTGCAGCACTGTGCCCCAGCCTGCTGCTGTCCCCATTTTGCAGCTGAGGAAGTCGAGGTCGGTCCGACAAAGGAAGAGGCTTGTGCATGGTTAAAACCCATTGATTTAAGACCCCAGTGATTTCCCACTTGTTATGAACCCCAGCCTGCCACAGGCTCAAGGGACCTGGGACATTGCCTTCCAGAGTTTACAGGGTGCCTCACCAGTCCTTACCCCAACCCAAGTCTCCCCACGTGACAGACCGGGACACTGAGTCACAGAGATGGCCAGATACAATGACTCTGGCCCTGGGCAGGAGGCTAGCCCGAGACTCACGCCGAGAAGGTCCTCGTCCGGCGGGTGGGCAGCGGGCTCGGGACCACGTTGCCCCGGAGAGGGGACGGTGACCGATCTCGGGCCCGCTGGGTGTCCAGCAGCCTGACCGAAGCCTGGTGTGTTGGGGGCTGTGGCGGTGGAGGTGGCTGAGATGACATGGCTGACCTAGGAAGACACCGAGGGCTCTCAGGGGCTCATGCCCTGCAAGGGGGGACCCCGGATGCAGCCCACCCCCATGTCTGACAGTCTCCCATCGGAGACCCACATTCTCGGCTGCGCAATGCAGGCGCGAGGCTCACTCGGCGTGGAGGTCACCTTATCCGGCAGCAGGCCAGGCTCGCCCCAGCTGGGTCAGGTGCCTCCTCGGCTCCCGCGGCAGCCGCGGCCTCCCTCGGGCATCGCCCTGCCCGGAAATGCCTGCTCGCCCCACGTCACGGATGCCATCAGTCCCCTCTGTGCCCCCGGCACACTCAGGGCACTTAGTCAATACTTGTGAAAGGGAGGGAAGGAAGAGGGCGGCAAGGGAGGCAGGGCAGGCGGGCAGGGATCCTTTACTGCCAGCTACCTAGGTCACACTCCAGCCACTCAACAGCCTTGACCTGCTAAGTCAAGCACTTAGCCAGGCACTGTGGTTCCGGAAGGCGGGGGTAAAAGAGGGCAGAGCACACAGCATTCCCCCCAGAGAAACTCTGGACACACACCCGAGAGGCGCAGACCCCAGGTCTGGATCCCCCAGGGGCCGTCACAAGCTTGCATCTAGGACAGTGGGCCTGAGGGACCCTCAGTGGCAGGACCATCGCCAAGACAGCCATCTCCACCAGGCGCTCAGTCAGTTTGCAAGCTGCCTGGGTCACTGGCTGCCAGGAACTCCAGTTCCCTCGGTGACCCTTAACATGTATCAGAGGTGGGATCAGACCTGGCTGGGGGCCTAGGGGGAGCGGACTCTGGCACTTTTGCCAAGAGCAGGACGTGGCCGTTGCACTGAACACGTGACCGACTGCCAAGGCACCCGCGCTACCTCGGCCTGGGCTCAAGGTCACCAGGAAAGAAAGCAAAGCTCAGGAGCCAGAGGGGCTTGGGTAAGTCCTTTCCGCTCTCTGGGACCAATTTCCCCATCTGCAAAGTGGGGCGGCCGAGTGGGCGTCCCCCGGCACCTGCAGAGGACACGAACCAGAGCGGGGCCCCGTGGCAGGGATGGCGGAGGAACCCCGAACTCCTCCTTCACCCAGGCACGCCACGGTGGGACGGAAGCAGGCCGACGGGCTTATGTGGCTCACACAGGGTTTTCACGCTGAAAACATCCCAACGCAGGCTTCCCACTACTCTTGGAAAAACAAAACTCGAAGCTCTGACAACCTCGAACTGCCATTCGCCACCCCTGCTTCCCTCATTTATATGGACTCAGTGGCCCCAGAGCACTGGGGTTTCAACCTACATCACCCAGCAGAGCTGCCTCTGCCCGCAACCCAAACCCCCCCCAAGGAACAGGCCTGGTTCCTCCCCCCAACCTGTCCCCCTCCCCCTGAGTCTCCCCTCAGTCCCCCACACAGCCGTCTGGCCTTAGTTCTGCCTGGCTGGGAAGGGAGAAGGCCGGCTGCCCGCCTGGAGGAAGTGACATAGTTACCTCCTGACCCTTCTCTCAGCTGCAGCCACCGCCAAGGAGGACCGGGGAGCCCCCACCTCATGCGGGCCCCGGCTGCTCGGCTGGGGGGTCAGGGCTCCAGCACCACCCACCAATACAGGTCATAGAGTCCTGGAATGTTCCAATGCTTGGGGTTCTGGGAAGGGTGCTGATCCAGAGAAGGGAGCGCCTTGCCCAGGCCTCCCAGGACAGCAGATGGGACACCAGGGGGAGGGAACAGCCCCCTCTTCTTCCGTCCAGTCTCCTTCTCCTCCTCTGGAGTCAGGCACATCTGACCTCACACCACGGCCATGAAGTTGAAATGAAATACTACACGCTAAGCACTCAGCACGCTATCTACCCAGAACAAGTGAGCAGGGCCTATCAGCTAGGACTGTTATAACTGCCATCATAAGGTCATTCGACAAACAGGTGATCAGTGTCAGGCCCTAGTTCATGGCACTAGAGACACAGGGCCTGAGTCTGGAGTCAGAGAATAAACAGGTAAATAGACACATGAATAAGATCGCTACAGATTCCCAGAAGGGCTGGTAAGAAATACACGGGGAGACAGAGTACCAGGGTGGAGATGATTCTCTAACGAGGGGAAAGCTGGGTCCTAAACAGTAAGAGTCAACCTTTCAAAAAGAGAGGGAGGCTCTTCCAGGCAGACAGAACAGCCTATGCAAAGGCCCCGTGGTTGGCAAGAGCCCACCCAGGTGTGGCTGAAGGCCAGCAAGGGGGCAGTGTGGTGGGCACCAGGGACAGAGAGCCGGGAGAGGGCCGGCTGAGGAACTACGGGGATCAACAACATCGTGTGCGTCTTCCTCTCCTCACACCCATCTGTCCATCTGTCAGTCCCATGCCCCTTACCATACCCACCTCCCCCTGAATTAATGCAACAGGCTCAAATTAGGGGCCCCTTTCTCTCCATCCCAGCATCCCCGAATCCCCAAATACACCCAACCCTCAGAGATGCCAAGAGCAGCCCACAGCCTTGGCGGGCAAGGAACCTGAGGGCTGCACAGGGTCCCTCCACGTCCCTAGGGCCCAGAGCTGGGGCCGGCACAGAGCACGATTCTCTCCTTAAATTCTTGTTTGGTTTTGTCTTAATTTTCATTTTCATTTTGAGAGAGAGAGGGAAAGCGTGAACGGGAGGGGCAGAGAGAGAGGGAGACAGAATCCCACGCAGGCTCTGTGCTGTCAGCACAGAGCCCAATGCGGGGCTCGAACCCACAAACTGTGAGATCATGACCTGAGCCGAAATCAAGACTCAGATGCTTAACCTCCTGACCCGCCCAGGCGCCCCGAGCAGGGCTCCCTTCTCAACCAGCCCCAGAACCAGGAGCACCGGCTGGCGGCCATTGTGCGCTCGGCGTGCTCCAGCTGGCACAGTCCAGCGGGGGTGGGGACCGTCCCACTCACCTGGCAGTGTTAGAAACCGGGATGGAGGGGTGCGGGGAGACCCTGGGGCCTTCACCACCCCCTGCCTGCCTCTCTCCGGCCATCTGAGCTGGAGGAGAGCAGCTGGGGCCTGGCCAGGAGCCAGCCCACCCCCAGGGCCCAGCAGTGAATGGCCTCTGTGTGGGGGAGGTCGGGTCAGAGTCCAGCTGTAAGGAAAACAGCTGGGGGAGGGGGCAGCCGGTCACCCAGGAGCCAACCCAGCAGCCGCTGCTGCCTCCCCAAGCACAGATGGGGAGAGGGGTCCCGAAGCCCGGCCCCACACCCCCCAGCACAGCCCAGGGCGGGAGGAGGCAGGGCCGCGCTCTGCGACCAGCGCGCCCTCCGTGAGCAGCCCACACACTCAACTCCCCCCCGCAGAAGCAGGGTGCAGACAGGTGCCCGAAGCTCAGACCTGGGATGGGCCTCCGATCTGCAGCAAACTCGGACCAACGTCCCTCCTGCCAAGGCACGTCACAGCCACTGTGCTGTGTGCACGTGTATATGTGTATACACACAAGTATATGTGTGTACACACACACGAGCATGTCACTGTGTGTGCACACTACTGGACCAGCGGGGGCCGCACGTGCCCCCCCCCCACTCCCCAAGCACACTGGCCACTTAGGGCATCAGAGGAACGGGGCACCCGAGGACAAGGACGGACGAAGGCTGCATCCTTTCCAAGTAACAGTTACTGGGCCCCCCACTAGGCACAGGAAATGGAAACCAGGATAGCTAATTCCTGCCCACAGGAGCTTGGGCTCAGGGACTGGACCCCACAACCACCAGGACAAGAAGTGTCCTGCAACCGGGAAGTGCTCACAGCACTTGACGCATCACAGCTCATTCATCTCCATTTCACTGATGGCAAAACCGAGGCACAAAGTGTCAAGTAACTTGCCTGGGTCCCCCAGCTAGTAAGTAAACTAGTGAGACCCACAGTATGTGGGACAGTGAAAATGTCATGGAGAAAAAGCAAGCAGGGGAGGGGGGCAGGAATGAGGGTTTGCATTTCAAAGCAGGTGGTCTGGGGGGGGTGCTCCCCTCCCACTCCCCCACCTCCATCAGCTACCGCCCCAGGTCCTCAACAATGCTCAGCCAGGGGAGGGGGGACCCAGGGTCTAGAGGTGAGGGAGTCAGGAAGCCACGCCCACCCTGGCTGCCTTCAGAGAGGGGTGTGTCAGCAAGGCCTCCAACCAGATCCCAGGAAAGGGTGGGGAAGGGGGTCTCAACCCAAAATAGCCTGGGAATTTTCCACAGGCCGGGCTGGTCCTCCTCTTAGGTTGTCGGAGTTCAGCCAGGCACCAGAATCGGGCCTTCCCAACCCACCCCCCATCAACCCCCTCACGTATCTGGGGGCTCCAGATAACCCTACATTAGCCGCCACCTCCTGTCCTCTTGCCTTGAGAACCCACCAACCCACCAAGGGTGAGTCACTCTTAAGCCAAAGAGCGGGGTGCTTAGTCCAGGGAGTGGAGCCTTGGCAGTGTTTTCAACCATTCACACTTTAGTGAGAGGGAGTTCACAATTCATTTCCCAAGGCTCCATTCTTGGTAGCTTTCACACATCTGAGGGTAGGAAGGTGGAGATGTGGGGGAGCAAGACCTGGGTCCAAGTGGCATGCTTCGTTCTGTGTGGCTCTTGGCAGAGCCAGACCACACCAAGCTTACACTGGAAAGCCTTCTGTGGGTTTCTGGCTGGGGGAAGGCAGACACCCAGCTGCAGGGCCAGGCCACTGCTGCCGCGTGGGGAGGGCTCCGAACTAGTCCACACAAAAGGAAGGGGGCAGGGCACTGGGGCCAGACGGAGCGAGATGCGTCCCCACGTCCCGCACAACAGGGGGAGGTGCTTTTATCATCCCCATTTTACAGGTGGGGAAACTAAGGCACAGAGAGGTGCTCACACTTTAGTGTCCCCACAAGTCTCTGGGGAGGGGGACAAAATGCAGAATCTGATTCTGAAGGTCGAGGATGGGGCCCCGAGACTCTGGAATTCAAAAGTGCTCCCGGTGAGCCAGGTGCCACTGGTCCACAGAAGGCACAGAAACCCCAGAGTTGGGCGGGCTGACGACCTGCCCACCCTCACAGCCAGTGGGTGGCAGGGCCCCGGCTGGAACCAGGTGGGTGAAAGGGAAACTGGGGGCGAAAAGGGGTGAGGTTCTAGATGAGTCAGCCAGTTACTCCTTTGTCAGCCCAGGTTCTTCCTTTGTAAACTGAGGCTGAGACTCAGGGACTCCCCTCCCGAGCTCCAGTCCAGCTGGGCCCCAATGTGGGGGAACTGAGGGGCAGGTCAGCTCGGCTGAGGCCCGACAGAAGGGTCCCAGGAAACAAGAGAGGCCCCAGGAGGGGGCCTGAGGCTGGCCTCCGCCACATTCCCTTCCATTGTTCGGGAGAGAGCGAGCTCCCGCGGGGGAGGGAGAGGATGGAGGGGATGCAGGGGAGGGGCGGGGAGTGGGGGAGAGCGGGCGGGGGGCGGGGGGGGGGCGGCGGCAGGGACGGCCTCTGCTGGAGCGCCAGCCAGCGCCCCAGCACCTGGGGCCAAAAGAGCTGGCTGCAAAGACAGACAAAAACTAGGCAGAGGGTGCCGCCCGCCCGCGGAGAGACAGAGACGCGGCCCGGCCGGAGTCCCCTCCAGGCTGTGCCCCTCTGGGAACTGCTCTCTCGCACTCCCCCCGCACCCCCCCCCCCCCGCCGGGGCCCCAGAGTGCCGGGAAGAGGCCGGAAACCCAAAGGACTGGCGGCCCCTCCAGCATTGCCCGCCCCACCCAGGAGCACCCCGACGACGACGCCTCGGCAGGACCAGCACCCCCCACCCCCGAGAAGGTCCCCCAGCACCGCGCCCCGCCCCCACCCCCGGGCCCGCCCCAGCTCGTAACCAGAACCCCATCACCCCCAGGTCACGTATTCCCACACGGCATCCTTGCCTCCACCCCACCACCCAGCGGCTAAGGCTGCTGACCCGAGTCTCGGCCTGACTCTACTCTTTGCTCCCCTATGTGACCCCTGGCGAGAGACCTCACCGCCCCATTCCTCAGTTTCTTTATTTGTCAAACGGGAGAGTAATGCAGCACCCCAGGCCCGCAAACGTGGCGCAGACGGTGCCAGCTACAAAGGGCTCAGCCAACAATAGTTGAGTCGCTAATGGTGAAACTGTCAGACATGGGGCGACCTAGAATAATCCCTCCCATTCCAGTCCCTGCTGATGGCACACAAACGAAAAGCCCTGACTCTGCCACTCCACGGGACAAAGGAAGACCGTCTGCCTCCCAGGAGAACGCACCCTCAGCCGTACCCTCAGCCGTGCCCCAGGGCCCCCAGGGCCCCGCTGGGTCTGGCTCAGCTCCACGACGCTACAGGACCCAGTTCTTGCCCTGGAGGTGTAATGCCCGAAGTTCCGAAACCTCCCACAAAAGACCACCAGAGCCCTAAGTCAAAGCCAAGCAGCAAGGGTCGTTTGTTGCAGGTTCGAACCTGGACCTCCGCTCACTCGTTGCCGGTGACGCTAAGAGGCCCCGAGTGAGGTTTTTACAGCCTTTTTATAGACAGGTACAAACAAGTTATGGGGAAGTTAGGGATTCTTCGCGGTTACGCCAAGCAGTTGTACAGAAGCGGAACAAGATGGTTAAGCAAGCGGATTGAAGCTAAGTTTGTTTTTTACAGACCAGGATGACTAGGCAAACAGTTTGCCCAGGTCTCTCATTTCTCCCCTTTCTCAAGTACCTGAGGAACCAAGGGGAAGGGGAAAATATGTTAGGCAAGCGGGTTTACAGAAGCGAGAAATGCCGGTTAGTTCATGTACAATCACTTATTCTATTACATCCCAGACTACATTTAGGAAGTTTCACAACTTACTCTATTACATAGCGGGTTACATTCAGGAAAGGTATCACAATGCTCGTAGCAAACAGCAAGCAAAACAGACTTCTCAGCAATTGTATTTCTTTTTTTTTTTAAATTTTTTTTCAACGTTTTTTATTTATTTTGGGGACAGAGAGAGACACAGCATGAACGGGGAGGGGCAG